TATAAACAGGTTCAAGTACTTGTATAAATCTTATCAAGTGTAGATTTTAGATACCAGTTCAATGCACGTATTTGTGGTTCCCAGATACCACATTTTCTTTAAGTACAAAATCCTTAAGCTAACTGATTTGATTGAATTTAATCGACTCATAAGAATATCTTCCCTCATATGCACTTCTAAAGATATGGAATAAACTGCCACATGATTTAAAAAGAACTTTGTTAGGTATCTTATAAAAAAGTTTATTTGAAATGTTATCTGATGCCTACTAGAGATGTCAACGATAGTGTAACGTAACGTAAAATGTACGTTTTTGTACGTTACGTTACAATAATGTGTAACGTTTGGATATATTCTATATAACGTGAACGTTAAACGTTCACGTTATAGGAGCTCATACCTAACGTTAACGTTAGAGGAACATACCCCCAACATTAGCATTTTGTGGAAATGTAACGTTATTTTTCTAATATCTACAATTTTTATGACCATAACGTAAAGAAATGTTTTCTTTCCAAGGGGAGCTTGAAAGTCTAAAGTTTGAAAAATTAATTTTGATTTGATTGAATATCGTAACGAAAGGATTTCTATTTCTATTTCTTATAAAAAGTGTAACGTTGTATAACTGAAAAATGCATTACTGTTTATGAAAACGTGTTGAAACGTTTTCCCTTATAATATAATGAAAGATTCAACGTTGCAGAAATGGGTTATTATTTTAATAATTAGGAAACGAAAGTTTTTTTTACAGAGCAAAATTTCAATAATGTAACGTATAACATTTAAAAAAATGTAATTCTGTAAATCAAAACGTTTCATAACTTTTCTCTGAGTACTAAATTGATTAGTCTAACGTTAGATATATGTCGAATGAAAATGTTGTTCATAAAACGTTAGACTATATATTAGAGATTCGACTGATGATTATAAGAGCAAAGACTTATGGTTTTTCATTTCAAGTTTAAAGAAAATGAGTTTATGCCAAAAACTCTAATTTTTATTTAATATATCTTTGCAACCCGATGTCGTAGACCATTAATATTGAAATATACAAGGTTTAAACCATCGGGTTTGAAAGATATAGGAATTAGTAAATTTGAAAAAAAAGTGTAAACAATTTTTTTTGTAACATACTATTTGTGAAAATTCAAATCTTATAAATGATTCTTGGACATTAAAGGTTTTTGATTTGCCATTGTTTGATGAAACCCACTAAAACTCTGGAAAAGGAAGACGACATTAAGAAATTTTACATATGCATTTTCTGTTATAAAGCAAATGGTTTACTAATTGCAAAAAAATCAACTTATTAAGTGGAACGGGTCTGTGAACAAACATAATTGCTGGGTTTCATGCTTATTTGACTACTTGAAATCATAACTTCAGTTGGCATGGTTCATTTTTAGGTTGAAAAATTTAGAAGTGTAGATATTTACTAAAATGCAACAATATTTTATCAAATGGAAAATGCATGTTATGTTTTATTCATCAATAGATTTTTATGAAACTTTAGAATAGAAAAAAACTGATTTTTTAATCATTTTGTTTTTAAAAGAAAAAAATGTTAAATAATTTTATTTCACGTTGTTTGTGTTAAAAAAAAATTTAGCACTTGTCTTACTATATTTGATATTTTTTTAACCCCAAACATGAACTCTGAAAACATTATCATTGTGGTTTGTAAACTAAATCTAATGCCGGTTTTTTACTCACTTTGAAAGTAACATAAAAAAATCACACAAAAAAAAAAAATCCGCCACAAATTATAATTTTCTAATCTCTACATCTTCGCAAGCTGGTGTTGTAGACTTTTCATATTTCAAGCTATGACTTCTGTTAGATAAGAATGTCTAAAGGAATTGAGTTGTTCACAAACTTATATTTCTAATCCCTATATCTTTGCTACCCAATGTTGTAGACCTTAGATATTTTAAGCTATGAATTCTGTTAGATAAAAGAAAAGGGTCAGTCTGCATTTCGTAAAAAAAGAAAAAATTAACCCTAAACTAATCTAAAATAATTTAGAACTACTGTTCCACATACAAAAGTGGTTTGCCTTGCCGAATTTTAACTCATTTTATGAAGTGTCCCATAACATGTCTTTTTTTTAAGCTCGTCAAATATATACACGATTATAATTTCAAGTGATCCTCCATTTAAAGAGGGCCATGCTCGAGTCCCAATGATAACGTGTACTGTATACCTTTATCTGATTGATGATTTCAAAATTAGGAGTGTTTTCCTATCTTGTAAATGTATGCTGGGCGTTAAGGGTGATTGATTTGTGACTTTATTTATAAATCAGCTAGCCGCCCACCTGAGGTTGCTGCGTTTTAAATTAATAAAAATATTGTAATCAAAAAAATTTAAAAATCGTCCATAGGGTTGGGAATTAACCATTTAATATTGGAAAAATTTCCGCAAGGCCTAAAAAAATAATTCAAAAAATAAGTTTGATACATAATTCTCTCGGAAATTTCATGCTGAATTCAGATTCGAAAACCATTTTTAAATATATTGAAATCTAAAGAAGTTATGGCCAAATAACGGTACTAAATTCCGGTTTTTAAACTTTTTAATGTTTTTGATGAGATTTTAGCTCTGACTCACTCAATTTTCAATTTTTTTAAACGCTTTTCAGATTTGAGTTTAGCATTGAATTTCCAAGAAAATGATGTAAAACATGAGAATAAAAAATAATTTTTTTTTGTGGCCTTACGGTGAAAACGCAGCGACTTCCGGTGGGCGGTTGGCTCTATTCCAATATTGATCACCCCTATATACTGGACATGCCACTCCATAAAAGGAAGGTCACTTGAAATTACGTCTCTAGTCCCTTAAAGACACACTTTGAGTTAAAAGTCTAATGCTAAAAACTTTCATTTACAAATTTTAAAAATCGTTAAAAATAATAATATTATAACATCTTTATATTGCATAATGCATATTCTTTTACACATTCTCTAAAAAGGTTAACAATACAACAGCAACATACGGGGTGAGTAAAAAAATGTAATTATCCCGGAAAAAATCTTGCAATGCTTTCATTTAGAAACAATATTATTTTAATAAAGTGTAACGTTAGAAATATTAAGGCTTGAACATTTTAATACAAAGCAACGTATAGAGCATTTTTTCAAATCTTTCTTAAAAACGAAACGAATAAACAGTTTTGATTGTCAGTTGTAAAAAAGTTTATATCAGAAAAGTTAAGATAAAACGTAACGTTAACAAAAAATATTCTTTGCACTGAAATGCATTGTAACGTACAGAACTATGCCTCAATGACGTTTAATTAAAGCAAAACGTTTGTCATCTTTTAGATCTTAAACCAAGTGAAAGTGTAACGTAAGGTCTCTGAAAATATTTACCTTGCATATAAGTGGAACATTAAAAAATTGTGGTTTTATTACACAAGCGTTAACGCAACGTTGGGAAAGTTTTTTAAAACGGGAAATGCAAAAGCGTAACGGAGCTTACTGTTTTTTCACTAACATTTACTAAAGCTTAACGTTGTATAAGGTATTCAAGTGTAGAAAATTCATTTCGTAACGTTACTCTATGCCATAAAATTTCATAATATGCAACGTAACGTTTCAAACGTTAATACTTTTGATGAACACTATCGTAACAAAAGCTAAAATCTAGAAAAATCAAAACGTTGACATCTCTAATGCCTACATCTCAAAGTGCAATAAACCCTTTTGTTATTCTTGCAAAAAATGAGTATAGAACTTTGTAGATTTTTGTACATGCTTAATCTTATTCTGTTAAACGTACAAAACTTAAATCTGAAAAATCAATTATTTTGTTATGCTGCACCTCGGTCTCTCTAAATTTAACTAGTAATCCCTGACTTATTGTAAACTTTCAAAACCTAGTAATATTCATCATAGTGTAAACGTTTTAATATTAATTAGGTGGGGATAATACCCAAAACAGCAAATAGCTAATCTCCACCTAATTGCTATAATTACATAAATATAGTAAAAAATATAAAAATAGTTGCAGATTTTTTGCCTGTATCATTATAACTTGTATGTGTATTAATAGCAATAAACTATATCTTATCTTATCTTACAAATGTTAAAGTTTTAAAAAAAACTTGAAAAATTAAGAAATAATTAATCAACTCAATCATTAGGCATTTCTGGAAAATTTTTGATGAAAGCCATAGTAGAATCATAAAATGTATAATCTTATTATTACTATTCCTTTGCTATTGATGAAAAGCTGTTCGCAAATTTCTTCAAAACTTCGTTTTCACCTTTAAAAGAAAGAGCATGCGACCCTAGCTGAAAACATTTACATAAACCTACAAGATTACATGTTTTGTTAGTATTGAATCAATAGTCTGTAGTAACCAGTTTAGTCCAGATAAAATAAATATTCAGTGGTAAACAAGTTCTGCTATGTCAGCAATCCATTTCAAAGCTTTGTTAAACTGAGTATTTGTGTAATTGAGCAAATAGTCATGCAAGTGTTAAAGTTCTATATATTCAACTGGGATTTCTGTAGTAAGTTACTCAAGCCTACTTCTCTCAAGGTGCAGTAATATCATTATTTTAGACATTCAAAATCAGGCCTTTTTGTTGTGTTCATTTATAACTTTTAACCTCCATTTTCTCCATGTTCTTTGCTTCTGTTCCAATTAAACATCATTGAATCTAATACACTTTAAAGACACCATAAAAGCAAGTTTAGATGTTGAATTTAAATTTTGATGGCTGAAATGAACATTTTTAGATGAGATCTGTCTTGTGTTTGACTTTCCTGTTGGCTGGAGTATCCCAGGCCAAACATATTCAACCTAAGCTTGATATTGTCTTGATCAACAATGAAACCGAATCAAGGAATATCTTGCCAAAACTTGAAGTTCAACTTCTTGTAAATGAGACTGAAGAAATTGATCCAAGCCTGTTGACTCCAAAGCTAGAGGTCCAGCTTCTTACAAATGAAACTGAGGTTGTTGATCCCAGTCTGCTGACTCCTAAGATGGCTTTGGACAGAGCTACAACAGATTGTGGATGCGGGTATGCTGTGAGCAATCCTAATCCAGCAGCTGGAAGAATTGTTGGTGGATCTGTAGTTACCCCACAGAACAAGCTTCCATATCAAGTATTTGTTCAGACCTGTTTTGCTAATGGCTGCGCTTCTTGCGGAGGTACATTGATCAATAAAAGGTATGTCATGACTGCAATGCACTGTGTTATGAGTGGAGGTGTCGCGGCTAGGAGTGCGTTGGTCAAAATTGGAGATTATAGTAAAAATTCTGCTATCGAGACAATACCACAACAGAATATTCCTGTTGCCAATATTATTATGAGAGATGACTATGATGAAAAGAATACGAATAATGATATTGCTCTGCTCCGCTTGTCTTCTGATGTTGTATTTAATGCCAATGTTGTACCTGCCTGCCTACCTACTGATCCAAATAATCTTTATGTAGGCCTGGAAGCAGTTGTTTCAGGGTGGGGCACTACCTCTTCAGGAGGGTCTACAAGTGATTTGCTGAAGGAAACTACAGTTAAAATTGTAGCTAACTCTGATTCAACCTGCTTACCAAAATATGGAGATATTGGAAAAACAAGGATGTGTGCTTATGCAGCAGGAACTGATAGCTGTCAGGGAGATAGCGGTGGACCTCTGGTTGTCAAGGAGGATGGAAGATACACAGTAGTAGGTGTTGTATCCTATGGTATAGGTTGTGCTAATGCTGACACTGCCGGAGTATATGCTAGAGTGAACAACTACTTGGACTGGATCAACACAAATGTTGCAGATGGATGGTGTTCAGGAACTAATCCTGCAGTACAACCAACAACTGCCTCTCCTACAACCCAAGCTCCAGCTACAGGTGGTCCATGTGATCTCAGATGTCTGGGGACATTTTCTGGAAACTATCTTTTGAATGGTCTCCCTGCAACCTGCAGCCTTGGTATTTGCACATCTACAGATGGAAGTAATCTTTGCAATGCTTTAGGATTTCCTTGCGGAGTACCTACTGCTGCCCCAACAACCAAACCTCCAGCCACTACTGCTCCAACAACCAAACCTACAGCCACTACTGCTCCAACAACCAAACCTCCAGCCACTACTGCTCCAACAACCAAACCTCCAGCCACTACTGCTCCAACAACCAAACCTCCAACCACTGCTGCACCAACAACGACTGCTCCAATCTGTAATCTAACATGTATAAGCAGTACACTAAATGGTTTTTATCTGATCAATGGAATTCAATCTACATGCACCAATGGAAGATGCAGTGCAACTAATGGAAGTGACCTTTGCAAGCAACTTTTGTATCCTTGTGGAGTTTGAACAGATAATACTGAACATTGAGGAATTATATGTTGTATCTAAATTGGAAATAAATAAATAATTATTATACACCTTATAGAATAGAAGGGTTCTTTTTTACCAATTATTAATCATTGTGCTACTAGGGTTTCAACTCAATGCAACCTTCTCCAGGCCCAAACCAGCAAAAACAATTTAAATTGTGGGATATGAGATATATATGCTTGAAAGGTTACTGACTTTTGAAATAATACAGGGGTGGGTTAGGGACCTGTAAAAGCATGAGGGGGTGGGTTACTGACTTGTAAAAGCATGAAAGAAAAGAGTTACTGACTTGTAAAAGAATGAAGGGGAAGGGTTACTGACTAGTAAAAGAATGAGGGGAAGGGTTACTGACTTGTAAAAGAATTAGGGGTAAGGTTACTGACTTGTAAAAGAATAAGGGGTAAGGGATACTGACTTGTAAAAGAATGAGGGGAAGGGTTACTGACTTGTAAAAGAATTAGGAGTAAGGTTACTGACTTGTAAAAGAATGAGGGGTAAGGGATACTGACTTGTAAAAGAATGAGGGGAAAGGGTTACTGACTATTAAAAGAATGAGGGGGAAGGGTTACTGACTTGTAAAAGAATGAGGGGTAAGGGTTACTGACTTGTAAAAGAATGAGGGAGAAGGGTTACTGACTTGTAAAAGAATGAGGGGGAAGGGTTACTGACTTGTAAAAGAATGAGGGGGAAGGGTTACTGACTTGTAAAAGAATGAGAGGGGTGGGTTACTGAATTGTAAAAGAATAAGGGGAAAGGGTTACTGACTTGTGAAAGAATGAGGGGGAAGGGGTAATGACTTGTAAAAGAATGAGGGGGAAGGGTTACTGACTTGTAAAAGAATGAGGGGGTTGGGTTACTGAATTGTAAAAGAATGAGGGGAAAGGGTTACTGACTTGTAAAAGAATGAGGGGAAAGGGTTACTGACTTGTAAAAGAATGAGGGGTGAAGGGTTACTGACTAGTAAAAGAATGAGGGGGAAGGGTTACTGACTAGTGAAACAGGTGCTGAGCCCCCCTAGTAAGAATACGCCCTGGTTCTCAGTTTGATCCTAGATTCTTGTAGGAAATTCTATAACAGAAAAAATCCGCCATGTTTCAATTTTTTTTTTTAGATTTGGTGGATTTTGTCATCCTTTGTAGATTTATAGACAATGGAATATTTTAACCCAATCAATAAGTGAACTTAGAATTTTTGCATTGGATATCCGGCTAAGATTAGGAATTAGCACATTAATTTGATATTAATGGACAAATTTAAGATGACAGGTTTAAAGCCTTAAATCGGGAAACCCTTTAGTGTTTAATGCATTAATAACAGCATTTTTCATTTTTATTTAATTTTTATTTCTTACAGAGAATGATCATTTCCTTAAAATTTAAATGGTTTTTAGCATACATTAATTTTAGTTAAATCCCTCTAATTTTTACGATGGTTGATTTTTTTTCTTCAGAACCGCTGGAATATTGAATGATGTAAAGGAGGTTTTAGTTTTCATTGGTTCTAGTTTTTCCAAGAGTAAATTACACATCGTAGGACTTCTGCATTGATAAAGGACATTTAAATCCATGACATGCAAGAAGCTTACCTTTTCATCAATTTAAAAATTTCTTTTTAAAAATTTAATTCAAAATGTAAATTTTATGGGAAGAACATAGAAATTAACACTCAAAATTTTTTAAAAACAATAAATCTTTAGATTCAAAATATTTTTTTCTTCAAATTTTTACATGCTGTAAATTTCCCATTTTTCAAGGGTTTGCCACGCTACAACGAAAACAATAAAAAAATCTAAAATTTGTTTTCTACAAACTTTGTATCAAAACTTTATAAAAAGTTATTTTTTTTTCAAAATTGAACGATTTTTGTCTACTTTTAAAAACGAAAATTTCTTTAGTTGAATAAAACTGACAAACATGATTTTAGTATGATAGTTAAATGTCAATGAATATTTCTCATAAATCAATAAAAAATAGATTTTATGACAAATTTTTCCCTTTTAAAACCCTGGCAGTAATGACAGATAGATAGATAGATAGATAGATAGATATATATATAGATAGATAGAAAGATAGATAGATAGATAGATAGATAGATAGATAGATAGATAGATAGATAGATAGATATATAGTTAGTTAGGCAGAAAGAAGGATAGATAGATAGATATACAGTTAGTTAGATAGTTAGATAGATATATAGATAGATAAATAGATAGATAGATAGATAGATAGATAGATAGATAGATAGATAGATAGATAGATAGATAGATAGATAGATAGATAGATAGATAGATAGGTTCTAGACCATGTCAAAGTCTTATTTACAAGGGGGGTACTAGGGAGGGGGGTATATTTCAACTTTTAGAACTGATAACATTGAATTTGAATGTGAACCAAACACATTTTGTTTCAACTTTTCTGTTGAAGCATTAGATAGAATATTTTACGTTGAGATGCACATATAGCTTTTAAAACTTTATGTATATAGCTGATTAAAACTTTATGTATATATCTGATTAAAACTCTCGTATATAGCTGATTAAAACTCTTGTATATATCTGATTAAACTATTGTATATAGCTGATTAAAACTATTGTATATAGCAGATTAAAGCTATTGTATATAGCTGATTGAAAATCTTGTATATATCTAATTAAAACTATTGTATATAGCTGATTAAAACTCTTGTATATATCTGATTAAAACTCTTGTATATAGCTGATTGAAACTCTTGTATATAGCTGATTAAAACTATTGTATATAGCTGATTAAAACTCTTGTATATAGCTGATTAAAACTATTGTATATAGCTGATTAAAATATTATGTTTTTTTACTTAAGAAAAGGTCGTTTATCTTTGTTGAAAAGTGGATGCCGAGTCCATTAGCGCCTGATCCAATCAGGGTTCAGCCATGTGTATGTTGTCTATTCTGAACCAATAGAAATAGTATGACGGTAACATCTTTCTATCTATCTCATTATCCAATTAGATATATGAATCCTTGAATCAGCGCTATAACAGTAAATGGACATATTTACTTCTACTGAAACTATAGTAGATTCTGACTCAGCTCTGCCTCATATTCAGTGGTATTTTATATACAATTTTGATTAATGAGTAAGCAATTGCTATAGATACAAAAGGATTTTATTACTTTCAATTCAGCTCTCAATTGATGTAAAGTATAGTAATGATAATAGAGTTAAAGATACTTAATAATCAAAAAATCTTTCCGAGTAAAAATGTCGAAATTTTTAATCTTAGAAGATGTACCAATTATAACTAAAAATCTGAAAATCCGAGAAAATTTGAGAATAATTGACAATACTGACTTTCAAAGTTACAAGATGAATATTTAATAGAAAAATCTTAGTTTTTTTTAAATTATTATAATGGGTAAATTAACGTGGATTTTAGGAATATCTTTCGTTAAAGATAGTGACAGGCTATGTAAGCTGTAATTGAACTGAGTATGCAGTCTTGTACGTGGAAAACTTCTTTCGAATTCATTCGAGACATATTAAACTTTTAATAGATCTGTAAATCCTGAGTTTGAGCGCAAATTCGACGTTCAAAACTTCTACTTTGGGGGTGAATACGTTTTCAGAATTAGTTTTTTAAAAACTACCTTACATAGCCGGTCACTCCCTTTAATGTCGTCAAATAATCCAAATCATTAACGAACAATGATTTGGTAATGAAAATCCGTCATTACTTAAGTCCTGGAATCCATTGTTAAAACAACCCTAGACCAGTATGGAGTATAAACAATATCATAAAAACAACAAATAAAATCATACATTTTTAGATGAAGTAAATAATTTACAATTTTTACAAAAATTGAGAATCCTTATCAGGGTTGTGAAAAACTATGCTGGATACTCATCTCATAATCCCGATCTTATCAGGGTTGTGAAAACTATGCTGGATACTCATCTCATAATCCCGATCACTTGATCTCGATATCCATTGTGAGCACTTTTGATATGAGAATCTATAAAAAAAACTTTATCTTTCCATCTCATCATTTTGATTATTCCTCTTCAGAGCATAGCTCCCTTAATCTCTTTTGGCTTGGTCCGATTACATTAAATAAGGATTAAATTAATCTGCGGATTAAAAAAGATTTAGATAAAGCTTTGATCTCGATATCCACAAAACAAAAGTTTCTAGCTCAGAATTCAGAAACTTCAGTCCACTTAGGATTATGTCTAACCTTTAAGTAATTGTGTCTTTGCCACAAACTCAAATTTTCCAATCCCTATTTTTTGGCGACCAGAGGCCAAATTTCAAGAATTTGCTTAAATATGGTTGGTTCCACTTAAAATTGTATCAAATGTTTCAAGATTTAAGCCGGCGCTTAATTTAAACTGGGTTTTGGCGGATTTAAGCCGCGGCTCAAATTCTTTAAATTCGGTTTTAGATGGTGTAAATCATTGATATTTCAAACTTAAATTTTTTATCTATAATAGAACTCATAGTTTGAATAGGTCTTTGAAATTGGGTTGTAAAGCAACAGGGATTAGAAAATCCGAGTTTGCATGGCAAAGATTAAAAAAAATGCATTAAATATTTTTAGTTAAAATAAAGCTATAAAAGTTAACACATCTGCTGTGATTTTATTTCAATAAATAAATGTCAATGAATATTTCAAATAAATCAAAAAGAATTAACATCCAATTTTTTGTTGTAAAATCTTGCAGTAATAATGCATTTTATCATCGGGATAGGTCTTCTACTTTGCTTTGTGTCTGTAGATTCATGTTTAATGTCGAGGCTTGGATTGGGTACAAAACGTCGATTATCATAACGTCGATAGTTGTAGTATTGGACGTTTAGTAGCAGTCGACGTTTTGTAGTATTCGACGTTTTCTTATTCAACGTTTTGTATAAGTCTACGTTTTGTAGTAGTCGACGCGTTATGGTATGATATGTAATTCCGACGTTATGTAGCAGTCGACGCTATGTAATTCCAACGTTTTGTAGCAGTCGAAGCTATGTAATTCCAATGTTTTGCAGCAGGCAACGTTATGTGATTCCAATGTTTTGTAGCAGTCGATGCTATGTAATTCCAACGTTTTGCAGCAGTCGACGTTATGTAATTCCAATGTTTTGCAGCAGTTGACGTTATGTAGCACCAAACGTTTTGCAGCAGTCGACACTATGTAGTTTCAACGTTTTGTAGTATTTGTTAGTTAGTTAGTTTAGTTTAGTTTGTAAAGTGTACAGTGTTTACGTATACGTTTGTAAATATTATTATTGAAAACATTTTTCAATTGACAAAACATCTTGTGAACCTTTTACTTTCTCATAATTTTCAATGTTTAAAACATTTTTTTCTAAGAGGAGGATGTTGTGGGTCTACGTCTAAGAATACTGTGGTGGGAGGATAGGCTTGGGCCTGGTGGCTGGTGACAGACGTCCAGAGAACTGACGAGGGTCAACCCAGACCGAAATATATTTTCAATAAATGTGGAACTAACATCTACTTTTTTACTCTACAGAGGTTTGGTCCATCACTATCACCGAGTTTTTAAATGTAGTATTTGACATTATGTAATTCAACGTTTTGCAGCAGTCGACGCTATGTAGTTCCAACGTTTTGCAGCAGTCGACGCTATGTAGTTCCAACGTTTTGCAGCAGTCGACGCTATGTAGTTCCAACGTTTTGTAGTATTTGACGTATTGTAGAAGTCAAAGTTCTGTAGTAGTCAACGTATTATAGTATGCTATGTATTTCAAACGTTTTGCAGCAGTTGACGTTATTTAATTCCAACGTTTTGACGCAGTCGACGTTATGCAATTCCAACGTTTTGCAGCAGTCGACGTTATGTAATTCCAACGTTTTGCAGCAGTTGACGTTATTTAATTATAACGTTTTGCAGCAGTCGACGTTATGTAATTCCAACGTTTTGTGTCTACTCCATAAGCAATTGTTGAGCCAGTTCACACCATCAAAGAACTAACAACACTTGGTCCAGGGGATACAATTCAAAAAGAAGTTGGGTAAGCAACGTTAAACTATGTGCCATTGAAATCCTAAATATTTTTCTATCTATTGAAGAGCTATTCGGAAGAACAATGTGTAACCGGATGCTCATACCTGTGAGTAAAATCAGAACTAGATTTAAGATTTTATGAAGAATTCTAATAAGACATTTTTAAAACCAATCCAGGCCATTTTCATGATTGTTCTTGCAAGGATAAATCTTCACTGTTAATATTGATTTAATATTTGTTTCTCTAAATTCCTTCTTATTGCTCTTATAAAACCATGGTTATAAATATATATTTTAGAAATATTTTCAAAAAATTCCCAAAATATTATCGTAATACAAATCAAGCCAACATTTGGATGTTCATGTTGGATTTAGTTCTCAATGTGAATTAGTCAAATAATAAATAAATACAATGATCATATTTTTATACAATTTAATAAATCCAAAATTGACATAATTATTTTGTTTTGCAATCAAGATTGACTTCTGGCACAGATGATGGTAAAGAAGATGTTACAGAAAATATAACAAAAGATATTACAGAAGATGTTACAAAATACATAGCAGAAGATGTTACAGAAAAATATAACAGAAGTGTTACAAAAAATGTTACAAAAGATGTCACAGAATGATAAACATGAAAATGGAAATGTTTTAGAAAATTAAAAACATGTCTAAAACACCAAATCTCTCAATTATTAAATGTAATACAAAAAAAAAATAAAAACTTTGAAATAATTAATAAAAAATTATTTTTCTGGCATTTATAATAAAATTATTCCTCCCGAAATGAAAGTTTTGTGTTTTGAAGGCTGAGATGAGAGTATGTGGGGGGGGGGGAATAAAAGGATAATAGGGGGACAGGTTGTAATAAATAAAGTGCCTGATCATTTAGCTATACATTTGAACATACCTAGATAAATTCTAATTTTAAATAAAACATTTTTCCTTTTTATTAATTTAAATACAAATTATACAGAAAACTGTTATTATTTATAATTAGGATTAAGAGAAGCCATTTATTTCAATTTAATTCATTCAAAAATCAATTTTTAGGCAAAAACATTGTTTTTATTAGAGTCACGGAAGTTCGTAGTAAGATTTTGACTCCACTGGAGACAACTGGAGGGAATACATTTTCACTGGAGGGGTTTGAAAAAAATGCTTTTTAAAATTTAAAACTTTATGCAGGGTGATTTACATTCCACTGGATGGATTCAGAAATCTTTCCAGGGGGTTTATAATTCCACTGGAGGGATTCAGATATCCTTCCTATGGGTTTATAATCCAACTGGAGGGATTCAGAAATCTTTCCAAGGAGTTTATAAATCCACTGGAGGGATTTAGATATGCTTCCTATGAGTATATATTCCACTGGAGAGATTCAGATATCTTTCGGGGGGGTTTATAATTCTACTGGAGGGATTCAGAAATCTTTCCTAGGGGTTTATAAATCCACTGGAGGGATTAAGATATCTTTCCAGGGGGTTTATAATTCCACTGGAGGGATTCATAAATCTTTCCAGGGGGGTTACAATTTCACTTGAGGAATTCAGAAATCTATTCTGGGGGTTCATACATCCACTGGAGGGATTCAAATATCCTTCCTATGGGTTTATAATTCCACTAGAGGGATTCAGATATCTTTCCAGGGGGTTTATAATTCCACTGGAGGAATTCAGAAATCTTTCCAGGGGGGGTTATAAATCCACTGCAGGGATTTAGATATCCTTCCTATAGGTTTTTGATTCCACTGGAGGGATTCAGATATCTTTCCAGGGGGTTTATAATTCCACTGGAGGGATTCAGAAATCTTTCCTAGGGGTTTATAAATCCACTGGAGGGATTCAGATATCTTTCCAAGGGGTTTATAATTCTACTGGAGGGATTCAGAAATCTTTCCTAGGGGTTTGTAAATCCACTGGAGGGATTAAGATATCTTTCCAGGTGGTTTATAATTCCACTGGAGGGATTCAGAAATCTTTCCAGGGGGTTTTAAATTCCACTGGAGGGATTCAGAAATATTTCCCTGGGGGTTACAATTTCACTTGAGGAATTCAGAAATCTTCCCAGGGGGTTCATAAATCCACTGGAGAGATTCAGATATCCTTCCTATGGGTTTATAATTCCACTAGAGGGATTCAGATATCTTTCCAGGGGGTTTATAATTCCACTGGAGGAATTCAGAAATCTTCTCAGGGGGTTTATAAATCCATTGGAGGGATTTAGATATCCTTCCTATGGGTTTATGATTCCACTGGAAGGATTCAGAAATCTTTCCAGTGGGTTTATAAATCCACTGGAGGGATTCAGATATCCTTCCCATGGGTTTATAATTCCACTGAAGGGATTCAGATATCTTTCCAGGGGGTTATAATTCCACTGGAGGGATTCAGAAATCTTTCCTAGGGGTTTATAAATCCACTGGAGGAATTCAGATATCTTTCCAGGGGGTTTATAATTCCACTGGAGGGATTCAGATATCTTTCCAGGGGGTTTATAATTCCACTGGAGGAATTCAGATATCT